CGGCGGTGAAAAAACGGCCCAGTCACGCCTCTGGGTCATTGTTTATCGCCGGTTTGGGTCGAAATAACAACCGATGAAACCGAGCCGAACCTAGCCCTCCGGGGACGCCTGGGGGCACCGGCTGAACAGAAAAGGCGTGTGGGCCAGTGTTGTCAGCGACACGGGCCTATTTCCTGCCATTTTTCTCCCCCTTCCCTCCATTTCCCCAATGCTTCCCCCCCTTCTCCCCCGCCGCTCCCGCCATTCTCCTCATCATCAAATTCGGCTGCCATGCCGCCGAAGAAGTATGTGGCCCCTGCGTCGCCGCCGCTGATTCCACCCAGCCGAAGCAGAGGAAGGCGAGGGCGCCGATGGCAAGGCCACCCGGCATGTCGAACGTTGCGTGGAGTGCGGATGTTCAGCGCCGGAAGGCGGTCACCGCCGGAAGGCGGTCACCGCCGACAGGCGGAACAGGCTCATCGTCAAGAGGGCCAGGGACGCGGCGGCGGCGGCGGAGCAGGGAGAGGCGTCTCGCGCGGGGATGAACCTTCCGCCCGTCCACTGCTCACAAGCCGCGTGGAGCCGCAGAGTCGGTCGATGTGGGTACGCCCCCGTCGCAATGGGCTCCGCACCCTCGCCTGGCTACTCCGACGGTGACGCGCATGGCGGTTTCAACCCCAACATCACCTTCTCGCATGACGCACCGCCGCGTGCCTCCCCTCCGGCCTGAACCCCGACCAGCGCACTCCCTCCCCTGCGTTCACCGCCGACCTCCCACCCAATACAGCTATTCGTCACCGGCGTACTCAGCCTCGCCTACGTCGCCTCTGCGCCGGGGCACCCTGCCATTCGTGCACGGCTCGCCGCCATAGTTCCGCAATATCGACACCACCGACGCCAACATGGGCGTGATCATCACGAGCGACTCGGTCGCGGTCGCTTCCTGCCCCGAGTTCCACGTACGAGACGAAACGATGGACATCGTCGTCGACATGGACGACGAGCTCGACGACGCCGAGAAGGTGGAGGAGGAAGAACAAGCGGAGGAGGAGGAGGAGGCGGAGCCGACGACGGCGACGAAAGGGTTAAAGAAGAAGCGGGGGGCCAATGCCAGGCTGGGCGAGCCTCGCGTCAAGTGGACGTCCAAGTAGGACGAGTGTCTCGCCGAAGCATGGAAGACCGTCAGCATCGACCTAATCACTAGCTCGAATCAGAACGTCGACACGTACTGGAGAAGGATCAAGACGGTGTTCGATGAGCGCAAGTTGTTCGCCCCCTACTTCACCAACATCCACATGGAGTGTGATACGTCCATTTTGCATCATGTTTTCCTGGTGTTATTTATAATGTTTTTATGCATAATAATGCTTTTTGGCATAATTCTAATGTCTTTTCTCTCATAATATGCAAGGTTCACACAAAGAGGGAGAATACCGGCAGCTGGAATTCTGGACCTGAAAAACTACGTCATAGTTACCTGTTCTGCACATCTCCAAATGAGCTAAAAATTTACGGAGAATTATTTTGCAATATATAAAAAATACTGGAGAAAATAACTATCAGAGGGGACCCACCAGGTGGGCACAACCCACCTGGGCACGCCAGGCACCCCAGGCGCGCCCTGGTGGGTTGTGCTCAGCCAAGCCCACCTCTGGTGCCCATCTTCTGGTATATAGGTAATTTTGACATAGAAAAAAAAATCAGATGGGGACTTTCAAGATGAACCGCCGCCGTCTCGAGGCGGAGCTTGGGCAGGAGCACTTTTGCCCTCCGGCGAAGAGATTTCGTCGGGGGAACTTCCCTCCCGGAGGGGGAAATCATCGCCATCGTCATCACCAACAACTCTCCCATGTTTGGGAGGGCAATCTCCATCAACATCTTGAACGACACCATCTCCTCTCAAACCCGAGTTCATCTCTTGTGTTCAATGTTTGTACCAAAACCTTAGGTTGGTACTTGTGGGTGACTAGTAGTGTTGATTACATCTTGTAGTTGATTACTATATGGTTTATTTGGTGTAAGATTATATCTTTAGATCCATTATGCTATTTAATACCCCTCTGATCTTGAGCATGATTATTATTTGTGAGTAGTTACTTTTGTTCTTGAGGTCACGGGAGAAGTCATGTTGTAAGTAATCATGTGAACTTGATATGTGTTCGATATTTTGATGATATGTATGTTGTGATTCCCTTAGTGGTGTCATGTGAATGTCGACTACATGGCACTTCACCATATTTGGGCCTAAGGGAATGCATTGTGGAGTGGTTATTAGACGATGGGTTGCTATAGTGACAGAAGCTTATGTTGGGGAACGTAGCATGCAATTTCAAAAAAAATCCTAAGCTCACGCAAGATCTATCTAGGAGATGCATAGCAACGAGAGGGGGAGAGTGTGTTTACGTACCCTCATAGACCGTAAGAGGAAGCGTTTGACAATGCGGTTGATGTAGTCGAACTTCTTCTAGCTCCGACCAATCAAGTACCGAACGTACGGCACCTTCGAGTTCTGCACACGTTCATCTCGATGACGTCCCTCACCCTCTTGATCCAACAAGATGTCGAGGAAGTAGATGAGTTCCGTCAGCACGACGGCGTGGTAATGGTGATGGTGAAGTGATCCGCGCAGGGCTTCGCCTAAGCACCGCGAGAATATGACCGTGGATGTAAACTATGGAGGGGGGCGCCACACACGGCTAACAATTGATGTTGTGTGTTCTAGGTGCCCCCCATGTATATATAGGTGGGGGAGAGGGGAGGCAGCCAGGGGCACCCCAAGTAGGCGGAATCCTACTTGGGGTCTCTACCTAATTCAGCCCCCTTTCCTTATTTGTCGGAGAGGAAGGAAAGAGGAGGGAGGAGGGAAGGAAGGGGGAGGCCGAATCCTCCCCTTTCCTTTTCCCTCCCCCTCTTTCCTTCTCCTCCTGGTTCGGCCCATATGGGGGCGCACCATCCCCTGGTGGCTGGTGTGTTTCCCCTCTTGACCCAATAGGCCCATATCTTTTGTCGGAGGTGCCCGGAACCCCTTCCAATGACCCGATACGTACCCGATACCCTCCGGAACACTTCCGGTGTCCGAACACTATCATCCTATATTTCAATATGTACCTCTCGACCATTTTGAGACTCCTCGTCAGGTCCGTGATCTCATCTGGGACTCCGAACAACATTTGGTCACCAAATCACATAACTCATATAATACAATATCATCATTGAAAGTTAAGCGTGCGGATCCTACGGGTTCGAGAACTATGTAGACATGACCGAGACACCTCTCCAGTCAATAACCAATAGCGGAACCTGGATGCTCATATTGGCTCCGACATATTCTATGAAGATCTTTATCGGTCGAACCATTATGACAACATATGTTATTCCCTTTGTCATCGGTATGTTACTTGCCCGAGATTCGATCGTCGGTATCTTCATACTTAGTTCAATCTCGTTACCGGCAAGTCTCTTTACTCATTCCGTAATACATCATCCTGCAACTAACTCATCGGTCACTTTGCTTGCAAGGCTTCTTATGATGTGTATTACCGAGAGGGCCCAGAGATACCTCTCCGATACTCGGAGTGACAAATCCTAATCTCGATCTATGCCAACCCAACAAACACCTTCGGAGATACCTGTAGAGCATCTTTATAATCACCCAGTTAAGTTGTGATGTTTGATAGCACACAAGGCATTCCTCGTATCCGAGAGTTGCATAATCTCATAGTCGAACGAATATGTATTTGACATGAAGAAAGCAATAACAATAAAACTGAACGATCATAATGTTAAGCTAACGAATGGGTCTTGTCCATCACATCATTCTCCTAA